TCATTTATGAGGCCTGTAAAGTTTGCATTAACGGTTTCTATAATGTAAACATAGCATTACTTTTGGATACATATTTTCCTTTATTGTTTTACTTATTTTATGTTTTTACTCTTATTAACAGAAAATCAGTCATACCCTAAGCACTTCTGTGCTGCTTCCTAAGTGACCAGCCCCATAAAACAAAACCCAGCAGTTTCCAAAAGGTCCTATTCCTACTTCCAGAAGTGTTCAAGAGACCTGAACACTTCAAAGGACTGAGTGCTTAAAGTGTTTCATTCTTATTTCAATTTAAAAAAAAGTAGTGGGATTAAGATATTTTCCAGCTGTATCGATGTTGTTAAAAGAAAAAATAATAGAATTAAATATGAAACTGACTGCTTCTTTCCACTGGCTAGGAAAACGACATGTTCTGGCATAAACTAAGCTGCTCATTTAATGTACTAAAGCTGCACAAAGCATGAAATTTTCAAGCTTATATGAAAAAGCTTTTAATAAACGCAATGTAACAATATATTTATTTAAAAGATGATTTTCTAAGTGTGAAACTTTTCCCCCTGAATTTCAAAACGTTCAGTCCTTGAAGGAAACCAGTTTATTTACACATTAACAACATACTATTGAACTTCTATACCCAAATGTCTATCTAAATCACTTAAAAGTTATGGAAGTAACATACACCATGGTTCATTGAAAAGCAATTCCAAAAAAATTTCTGGCCAGAGTCACAAGAAGCAGAGCACACTGTTGAAATGGAAAAAAATAATAAAAAATGAGAAAGGAAAACCCTACAAAGAACAAAAGCAGTGACAATGTCCTCACAGGATGCATGGTGCAGTCATAACGTTAATAGTGGCAAAGAACAGCTGGAAAGCTGAATGGGTATTTCTTTGCAAATAAAATACACAGCTCTGTATTCCTAAGAGCACAAGCCCTACTATGTATCTGAAAATATATCTTGGTGATAATACAGTAAGGGCCACAGAGAAACCTTAACTGGTCAGCAAAAAGGTAGCTGGAGTTTATACCTTTAAGTAACTACAGATCTGAACAGATGAAGCAAAATGTTTAAAACCATGCCAAGATTTACAAGATGGGAACTGCAAGTTTCTACAGGGAGCTGCATCTACTCCAAGATTCTGAAATTCAGGTTAAGCATCTGGATAACTAAGTCGAATTCTTCCTTATGGGACAAATTTGGTCTTGAAGTGGAACACAAAATTGAATCAGTTTTATGCTATTTTTTTTTCCCCTCAAAAGAAACAAGTTCTGCCCCTTTATTTACCAACCTTCTTCAATTTGAGGGGAAAAAGTTGTTTCAGAGACTGGAAGCAATCCAAAGAAATGGCTATTGTATGTGCATACAAGTCCAACACAACAGGAACACATATTCCATAGCACCTTGTTCATCTGAGTTTCTTCCCTATTCCGAGAAATACCTAGTTGCCAGCATGGAATAAACATCTCAGTATTTTCAAAAGCTTTTCCTATAATCTTCAAGCAAGAGCTAGCTGAGGAACAGCTAGCAAAGTGGCAAATTTAAGTGCACCTTGAGCTTGGCTGGTCTACTTTGTCCTATGCGATGTATTTCCAGACACCAAGCATGCCACACTGTGTGCTTCACACAGACATGGATGTCAGTTTGATGGAGCCAGTGAAACCTCCTGGGATTACGTCAGGGAAGCACCAGAACTCAGACCTTCTTAGTGACAGAGTTGGGTTACCTGTCCTAAATTAAACTAGAGAGCACTATGGGATGGCAGACACATGCACAAAGTTGGTACAGCTGCTATGATACAATCAAGATGTGATCTAAAAGTTACTTTTCAAATGCTTGAGTTCCAAATCTTAAACAACAATTTATTTACTTTAAACTTGACTCTTTTAGAGAGCAATCATCCAGATTATTAAAAGCAACAATAACAATGTTGTTTCCAGGAAAGGTTCCCTACCATGAGACTGGTCAGAGGAGTCAGCTGTCTCATCCAACAGAACAGAAGTAAAATCAGGACTTCACAAGCTTAACGCAAGCAGGAGTTTGCTTTCAGGTTTCTGTAGGCACTAAGGAAAGCAAATGCTCATCTTCCACTCGCTCTGATTCAGTCTGCTTCTGTGAATCAGAAGGGGTGCTTCATGTATCGGGTCAATGTGTTGACACAAACAAGCTTTTTAATTTAAGAACTCTCTTACACAACACTGACTTCAAAAACAAGCATAAAAATACAGCGAAAGCAAAGGATTTCTTCAAACTGTAAGAGATTATGCAAACTTCAAGCAAGGAAGAATTATTTTGATAAACAAACTGAAGACTGCTTTCCTTGCGCAACATGAGAAGAGGTTCAGGCTGTAATGCTTTAGTGCATCAAATTAGTCTAGTTAAAACAGGTTATACTTAAACCAAGGGCTAAAACACACCAATAAATTACTTAAATTACCACATCTGAGCAGTCTCATGGTAACAGGCCATGTGCATTTTTTTAGTTCATGGAAAATACAAGATAAAATGCAAGTATGAGATCATACACATGAGGTTTAAGCAAGCACACTCAGCATTTGTGGCAGGCCAGGAACATGCATATAACCATTTATCACAGTTCAGATGATGCACAGTAGCACAATAAAATAATTTGCTTCTGTATCTGAGCTTTAAATATTTATTGGTAAATCAGTTAATATGCTACGAGTTTGGGGATGTAATCACACCATTACATAAGAGCCTAAGTAGAAATTATCACAGTTTTGAAGAATCTAAGGATGACAGTTTATATATAAATGTTTTTATAAAGTTTATACTTTAAGAAATCTAAGCACTGAAAAGCAAAATGACAATTTACAGTACACCAAACAGTTGTTTACATAATATCTTCCAAAACGGAATAATTCTTCTAAATAATTATCCCCCCTGACATTTTGGAATGGACAAAAATACCTGCACTGGTAAGCAGATTAAACCTTCTGATGAAAACAGTCATTCTACTCAATACTAACATGTACCATCCTGCAAGTACTTAAAGAGTACTAAAGCTACTTACATCCATGCAAACATTAAAGGCTGCCTTTGTTCCTTCAAGTAACTGTAGTATGACGAACCCAACTGAAGTTATACATTATGATACAGATCACTAGTTTGGAACACTTTAATACTTTACACAGCAGAACTGAAAGCAACTGCTCCCCATTAAAGATATCTCAATGTTGAAGCTATTTAATAAAGGGCATTAAGCAGCAGATAAAAACACTTCATCTAAATCCTGTGTTTAACATGGTTAAATGATTTCCCTCCTAAAATACCTATTAAACTCCAGGAGACTACAACATGGTTACCATTTTTTTTTTTCTTTGTATCGTGTGAGAAATCTATCTGTTGATTGACATTTTGCTCACCAGACACTTTCCTCTTTTGTCCCCAAAGACTTGTTTTGTACTTACTTACGTAGTTTCACATCATACTCTATTCTACATTGATTAGCTACCATTCAGTTCTTTACTTGATTTCTTCTGCTGTGTTAGACGCTTGTGAACCAAACATGAAAGGGCTTGGGAAAATGGGGTAAACTGCTCTTCACAAAGTTGAGACTAGCATATTACACTTGAATTTTGGTGCATATTCATAACATGAAAACAAATTCTTCATTAGATGGGACCTAACCTCAGCAAAAATATACCCCTATCATAGAAAAACTAAAATCTGCTTGGATGCCTTTCAACTCAATGAACAGCACATTAGCTGTGATGTAATGCAAAAATGCAATTTCATCCTTTAACACAGCTGATGGGCAATTGCTTTTCTCAAGGCAGGTCACATTAGGCTAAAGAGTACACTGTTGTAAGCTATATGCAGCCAACATACAGTGATTACAAACTTGTCAAAGGACAGCGTTAATTAGTGACAATAGTTGTGTAGTATCAATGGATACCCATCTTGAGCAATATTAACAACAGCTCTCCTCTAATCCATAGGTAGATCGTGAATCATGAATTCAAATATATGAATTGGCAAGACCAGGCCTCCACCAATGCAATGGGTGGGTCTATACCTAAATGTTCTTTTTGGAAAAAGCTTGACAATGGTGTTCAGAACATATGTAAACTCTTCAAAAAATTAAAACAACTACTTTATATCTTTACATCAGAAAGGTGATTTGTGATTCACAAATACTATATACTGCATCTGCTTATTCTCCTCTCACATAAAACACACTAATCTAGCCAAGAGCTTCTAAACCTCATCTTTACTTTTGGCTACTTCTATTTTTAAGAATGCAATTGCCATGGTTTCATAAGGGTCTTACAGTGTAGTACATCAGAAGATAATTCACAGGAATCTTCATAAAAAAAAAAAAAAAAAGTCGGAGAATTCTTGCTCTCCCAAGTGCCACACCATGGAAATTTTCTAACACATTTTTTTCTGCTTTTCATGGAGGTCAGTTCCATGACCTGATCAATTCAATGACTGAGGAACTCAATTCCATGAGCTCCAGCTAAAAACAATTTTAAAAACATTTGAGTAATGCCCCCTAGTTGGTCACTTATCAGTTTGTTACCACCCACTTGAGCTGTTTTCTACACAGGAAATGCATTTTACTAAAAACAGATTTACTTTCTTTATCCAAAGGCCAATTATGCAAGTCTCTCCAAGACAACACTTCCAGCTAAGGATGGGGGGCAGGGGGGAAGAGAGAGAGACAGAGAGAGAAAGTAATGTGAAAATAGAGAAAAGGTTGCTACCTTATAAAATCAGTAATGTTTATGTGGAAATACTGAACCTCTTCTTACCTGAATAACTTTATCAATTCTTTTTTCCTTATTTTTTTTTCCATTTGATTATAAGTTATCCAAAAATTTCTTTAGGGGTGGGGGGGGGGGGTGGGGGGCAAGGAGTCTTAAGTTTAGAAGTCTGTCCAATACTTTTATATTATTTCACCTTCAAGTGTTACTTAGAAAGTTAACAGGAAAAACATGCTTCATAAAACCTGGGAGAATAGTAAGTTATGTCTAATTACCGTTGACACTCTCCTGGCTTGAATTTTCTCCTGCTGATGAATGTTACACTGTCAGTGCCTGCTGTAGTATGAGCAACGTGCTGTACTGTCCCTCAGTCTTCTTTCTGCAGACAAGAAAAAAGTAATGGTAATTTTCTCTTTAGTGACCTGGCAAGCATAAAGTCTTAAGAAAAAACGGTGCAGAAAACAACCTACATTCAAGTAAGACAACAAAAGACAGCAAAGAAAAAACAATGATAAATTCCATCAGTATCTTCAAATAAAACTCAAGGAAGACTTCACTGGGAAAGAACCAGAAGACCTTCCGCAGCCTTGTTGCATTTATTCAGTGTGTACAGAATGCAAAAACCTGACAACTGCATAAACACTGCACATACATTTAGTGCTGTATTAGACAAAGACCCTCCACTGCTTATCTGTGATCTAATTAAAGGTAACTTGAACACTACAGAGAAGGTTCCCACAGGAAGTGCACTCTGTGGTGATTAAGTGTATTTCCTTAGTTATCTACTCAATGCTCTATTCCTCTATATGACAATAATGATAAAAATCCATTTCCAAAAAGTATGTGAATGTATCAGAATTTAAATTATCATAAACATATTTGTCCTTTGATAGGAAACACAAAAAAAAGATGCAAATTCTACAATCTGGAAAATACAGTCAGTTTACTGTTACGGGGCAGCACAATTTTATTCTAGAAACTGTTCCACTAAAGATGCTCCACCATGAGAAGGTAATGAACAGGTTGAGTAGTCACCGAATCAGTTCAAGATGTTAAATTTAATGATCTTTCTCAAGCTACTGGATCCCGTACCAAACTCCTGTTCCTAAACTGTTTGCACATTGAGGATTATAAATTGCATTTTTGGCTCCCCAGACTGAGGAAGTCTTTACATACATTAGTCAATTCCCAATATAGTTTTTCCAAAGATAAGGCACAGGCAGGTGCGTCCTGCAGTTTTAATGGAACACTTCAAGAAACCACTGTCTCCGTAGCTCATTGAGGTAGTTTATAGACTAAGCTGGCTAACTTTGCACTGAGCCAGCCAGCAGAAGCTCACAGCTTCCTCCAGCAAACACAGCAGATCTATTGTTACTTTCACCAGAAAGGTGATACTGTCTTGAAGCCGCAGATGTTTCTGAAGTCACAGCCTAATAAATGTTCCTCGTGAACTACTTTTAATACGACATGGGCCAAAAAAATATAAAGCATCAGGCCCCGATGCTGGAAAAGTGAATCTTGAGCAAACGGAGGCATTTTCCACATAAATCAAGATATTGGGAACAATAGGAGATTTACATTAAGATTGAAACGGACTAAGGGCTCTGAGCCAGTGGTCCGTCTTTGCTGGTCAATACACAGAAAGGATTGTGTTAGCACCACTGAAAGAATAAATTATCGCTGCTTTTACAATAAGCTCTTCAAGAATGCAATAAAGAGTTCAGTGTGTGTGCTCCTCACTCAGGAATCCAAAACTTTTCAGTTAAGGTCTGGCTTGCAGCAAAGATAACAGCTGAAAGCTAACCATCTTGACCCTGGTAAGCTTCATGACAACTTGCTAAAAACAGGTGAAAAAAAATGAAAAGGTCACTTCCCTGATATTCACTAGCCTTGAAACCAGAGCAATGAACAACCACAATTTTAAATACCAATAGTCCAGATCTGATCATTTTGAGATATAACAAAATTAGAAGTGACAAATGTAATTTTTTTCCTTGTCTCTTGACTGTTGCCATATTATTAATATTGAGGTTTTCTCACCTGCTTTCAGAGATAAATTTAAAATTCTTCTCTGATTAAATGAAATGAAGAAAATATGTAACTAGGGAAGGCATTCTTACAATATTTCATATCAGCTTATGACTTTGATGCAGAACATTGAAAGAATGCCTTCCCAGTTACGCATTTGCTTAAAAGTTACAAGCTTACTTCTACAGTTTGACAAGAAGTATCCCAAGTTGGGGAAATAGCAGATCATCAAACAAAAGTGCCAGTTTCAGTCTTCCAAGCTTAAAACATGTATTTTAATTTGCTTGAAATTCACCCAAAGGGATTCCAAAACCTTTTTCAATAATGGGTGTTCAGATGGGTCTGTAGATACATACATAGTACTGCTCAAACGTACTGCATTCCCAGCAGGGGTCTGCCAAGACCAGGCACTCTCTCTTGTGAGGAGAATGCTGGAATTTTTACTGTTTGCATAGTACATATGAAATCTTGTTTTTTAAGGACTCACCAAACCTTTCCTAAAAATAAACACAAAAGATGAAAGATTGCTGGCATGGGTGTGACAACCCACACAGCCAACATAATGCAAATTGTAACCTCCAAAAAAACCCAAACAAAAGACTGTTAAAAGTGCTATATAGAACATTTATATTCAACTTTGTTGCAAATTTGGTTTCAGTACAACATCAAAGAAAGATGCAGTTTGTGATCAAGGGTTGTGGCAGGAAATGCATTTGTGCAGACCAAGTTATCTTTATTCTCTTTAAAGGTGAGTGCACTAGGAGTTGCTATTTTAAACTATTCTAACTTCCAATTCCTCAAAACCACTGGCAAGTAAAACACTGTAGTAAAATTAACTACCAAACTTTACAAACAAAAGTAAGCTATCCTAATATAACTGGAATGGAAACAGACTGGAATATGTACCTGTGGAGATACAAAGCCCAAGAAATTGAAATTATTCCATTTCATTGTCAAAGTGCTGCTTAACTGCAGTTAAGGCCAAGTTTTTAAAAAACTTGCTGCAACAATAGTGAGCCCACAATCAAGTGAACAACTTGTAATAGCTTGCTCCAGAAGACGTTCAAGACAGTCAATACAGGTTCTGTTTATTCACAGACTGCTCTATTAAGAATCAGAAACTAAGACTCAGGATACCAGTGAACACAAAGTAGATTGCTTTCAACTCAGATTTATAGAATATTAGATTTATTTGACCCTAGCTAAGAACAAATTATTCCCAGACAACAGCATTCCAAAACTTTCAGAGATTTGGACACAGTAAGGTAAAAAGACCTAAAAGAGGACAGTGTAATAGCTGGCTGTTTTTCAACATGCATGATGACACACACAGAGCCTTGAGAAAGTCAACATCTTTCCTATTTTATCACCTTATCCTTTTCCACATACAAATCACAAAAAACAAGGAAAGGAATGTAAGTGTGGGAAGCAACTTGGGTTTTGCTTCTTACTCACAAAGATACTGAACAAAACACAAAGTACTTTCTTCTACACTGGGTATTAACTCCAAGGTCAATTTATTGGCTTAAAATACAGAGAGGATGCTTCTCTGGTTAAAATGCTAATCCGAGTCTCAGGAAATCTAGATTCAATTCCCTGCCTCACCACATACTTCCTGTGTGACCTTGGGCCATAAATATTTCGGTGCCTCAGTCTTTCCATCTGTGACTGAGATAGTATTTCCCTATTGAATCAAGTGTCATAAAGATAAATACATTAGAAGAGCATTAGGAATCACAAACCATAGGCATATGCGCACTGAGCTACAGAAGAACTTATCTGCAGCAGTACCCTGTGTAAATATTCACAATTAGGCATCAGGTAAAGCAAGGAAGGACTGCCAGTGGTAAAAACCTAGCTTCCACAGGACAGAAAAGACATAAAATACTCAAATACTGGATAGAAATTGAAACCTCCATTATAAAAATAAATTAGCTTTACAGAATATATCCATCATTCCAACAAGAAGTCCAAGTAGCAAGTTTTAAACAGAAACAAAACTCAGAAATCAGCTGAGAGCGAGCTGCTAAAGGAAGCAAATACACCTGCCAGCAACCATTATTACCCTGTTTTCTGAGATGACTGCCATGTGCTGTGCACGAAGCGCCTCAACTGAGAGGCAGCGGAGGGGCTACTGAGGCTGGGGGCCACGAATCCCCGGAGACTCTCCCCCAGCCCTCCCTAGGAAACCAACCGCACGTTGCTGAAGTCAACAGGCTTTTGTAAGAGGCAGTAAAATAGGATTGCACTGAAAAGCAGTCACAGTAGGGTCCCCACCTTTGCTGCTGCCCCAAGGCAGAGGGGGACAAAGCAGAATGGGGGAGGGTAAGAGATGGTCACCACCCAAACCCTGGATGACAGGACTGACCTCCCCCTGCCCCGACCCCAGGAGGAACTGGGGGAGGTGTCTGGTACTCAGTGCTGATCAGCCAAGGGGAACAAGCAGAAGGCTACGTGGCATTTGCAGGCAGCAGCTCCGGCTGCCGAGGAGGGAGAATGGGGGGGGGCGGGGGGGGGGGGAGCGGCGAGGGGAAAGCTGGGGACACACACACACAGGACTTCAGATCTGCCCACCCCAAAGAAAGAGAAGAAGAAGGAAAGAAAGAGGGAAGAGAAAGAGACAGATAATTTGTGCGTTGAGGAGAGGAGCGGGAACGGTTGGAGGGAAGACCGAGTCCGGGGAGCCCGCTGGCATGAGCCCCGCCCGGAGAAGTACAGCGGGGCTCGCTGAAACCCGGCCGAGACACCCCGGCCCCGCGAGCGGGACCGCCGCGGCCCCGGGCCCCCCCCCCCCCGCCCGGCAGCTGCCGCCGCAGCGGGGCTGTCCCGTTAGGAGCTGCCCCCCCGCACCCCGCGCCGACCCCAGCTCCCCCCCGCCCAGCCCTCCCGCGCCCCGTGGGGCAGCCCACCCGTACAGCCTTCCTCCTCTCCAGCCTCCCCCTCCGCCCTGCCCGGCACCCCCGGCACCCCCCATCCTCCGGGCTGTCCCCACCTGGTCCGTGCGCCACGTCCGCCCCCAATCCTGCCCCATACCCCGGGCTCCCCCCACCCCAAACACCCGCTCCATACCCCGGGGTCCCGCTTCTCCCCTCCACAGCCCCACACCCTGGCTCCCCCCCCCCCCCCCCGCCCCACATGGCGGGCACCCGGTTGCCCCCCGCCCCGTCCCACACGGCGGCCCCCGCTCCCCCCCCCCCCCGCCGCCGCCGCCTCCCGCCACAGACGGGCCGACACACCGCCGCCTTCCCCCCCCCACACACACACCCCTCCGCCGGCCTCGGCGGGGCTCCGCTCCCCACCGCGGGGCTCCGCTCCCCACCGCGGGGCTCCGCTCCCCACCGCGGGGCTCCGCTCCCCCACCGCGGGGCTCCGCTCCCCCACCGCGGGGCTCCGCTCACCTCCCCGCCGCCGGCGGGCCGAGCCGGCCGCCAGCTCCTGGCACTGCCCACCGCGCCTTGGGTGGGGAGCGCTGCTCTCCCCCGGCCCGGCCCCGCCGCCCTCTCCCGCGCCGCGCCGGGAAGCGGCAGGTCCGAGGGAGCCCACGGGCGCAGACCCCCGTCCCGGGCCGCGTCGCGGCGGCTCCCGCGGCAGCACTGACCGTGCGCGGCGCCGCAGCCCCCGCCTCAACCCCGGCACCGCCGACCGCCAACCGACCGTTCCGCCATGATGGAATGCGGGCGCTGCGCCTGCGCCGCCGCCGCCGGCCGGGGGCGGGCGGGCGCGCCAACCACAGGCTGGGCCCGATCTTCGTCTTCAACCACCCGCTCCCGCGAAAAGAGGCGCGGGGGGGGGGGGGAGCCCGCAGGTGGCTGGAAGGACGCGGCGGCGCGGGAGTTCGGCAGCCGCGGGTGCCTGGCGGGGGAGGCAGGGCTGGGCGGAGAGGGAGGGGACGCAGCTTTTCATGGCAGAGGTGGCACCGAGCGGAGACAAAGGTGCGGCGGTGGCCGGAGCGGGGTGGCTGGCCGGCACCCGCCGTCCCGCCGTGGAGGAGGCCTGGGCCGCATCCCCTGAGGTGCCGCCGCGGCCCCAGCCGGGCCTTGTCCCCGTCCCTCGGAGCTGGTGGCCCCTGAGGGCAGATGTCCAGCCCGGGCACTGCCGCTCACCCGGTGGCGCTGCCGGCGCCGCCGCCCGTGCTCCTGCTGTGACACGCGAACCGGTGCCCGACTGCGGCCGGGAGCTCCGCGGCCTCCCCGCCCCGGTCCTGCCGAAGCCGGCGCAGCGGTGGTATTTTACGCGTTTGATGCCTTTCGTCACCTCCACCCTCCCAGTTTAGGAGGGATAGATGGGTCACAGCACATGCAGAGACCAAAGACCCGAACTCAGACTGTGTAATAACATAAAGCATTAATACTGATGTCCCTGAGAGGTGAGGGGTATTACGCCAGCTGTTCTAAGCGGGCAAAGCAAAGAGGCGTGTCAAGACGAGGAGCCAGGTATCCTGACATGCCACTCCGATCTCCACATCTGCTCTTGCCCATCCTTGGAGCATCCCAAGCCCTCAGGGAGACTGAGCCCTGCTCCAAAAAGGATCAAGGGCAGGGGCTGAAAAAACACAGCACAGGCTGAAGAGCCCCTCTGGCACATCCATTTTCTCTGGCAATTAACGTAGCAATAAATTTTGCACTCTTCAGTTTATTTCCGCTGGACAGTTTGCACCTATATGTTTCCATTAACATGTTTTAAGCAAGTTTGAGGCACGTTTTTTAAAGCTGTGATTTAAGGGATATTTTGCGCATTGCATGGAAGTTGGCTTCTGTGTGGATGCAAAATAAATGTGACAGGTGTGCTCTTGTACAAATTCCATGCAAATTGTGGATCACAGCTGTTCAGAAGAAAAAGGTCAAATGACATTTTAATGCAAGCTATATAATATACATATAAAGAAACTAACATTTTAAGATGAATGGTTATGTGTTTACTCCTGGATTGATTTTGGACATATTTTTAATGAATACAGGAAATTTTATAATGAATAGAAGAAATTGTTCCTTTATGTCAAAGAGTATCTCTCTGGAGACTAGTGGAAGTGGTTGATTTGCCATGCTGAACAACTTATGCTAAACAAAACTAAAATAAATTCCCATCTATCTTTTTAAATAAGCAAGCAGCGTGTTAAGGAAGGCCAGACGTGGTGGTGTCTGCTGAGTTTCTAGGTGACTAGTAACTTACCTTGTAGCAAACAATGAAAGAACAGATAAAATCCTCAGATTGCATATATGTTTGGCACTTGCTGAAGTGTTGTCCCTTTCTCTGTTGCATTTGATCATCTAGCTATTACAAGACTTCACTAATGCTTTTGAATTTTATATTTGCTTCGGGAGGAAAACAAATACTATCATGCTTCACAGGTGGGCTGCCCTAGGGGGTGTTGGGGATCAACATCACTGAAAATATACATTTGGTGCAGAATAACACTGCTGGTGCATTAAAAGATGGAGTCCATTACCTTTTCATTCTCTGCTGTCACTTCTATTTGTTTAAGCTTCTGCATGCATGTGAGAGCTTCTTTGGCTGAACAGCTCATTGTAATGTCCTTTGTGATCTGAAAAGCAAAATTTGTTAGCTGAATTGATGGCAAATTTCAGGTGGAGAAGGCAGGAGAAACCTTTTCCTCTTAGCAAGATAATTGGCAAAATCTCTGTCATGATCTCTGCACTGAAATTTCCTCTTGTTTCTATTCCTTCTTTCTATTCCACATGTGTGACTACTGTCCTGATTATGCTACAGAAGAGCAGCAGCTCTACTTTTGCCCTGTGGAATAGAGTGGATCAGAACATCACGCGTTTTATAATGGTTGATATGAAATTAGTAATTCTTCGTGCCTATAAAATAGATCGAAATCTTCAGGAAAGGATTCAGAGGAAAAATAAGCTGCCCCTCTGTCTTGAGTCCTGTCGTACTGTTGTCACTAATACTCAGTTCTTCATTTCACTGACAATTCTGAAATTAAGTTCTTTAATTCTAGCTCAAATTTAAGGCTTGTGAACACTTCAGAAAAGGTAGAAGACAAGACCAGCACAGGACTCGGTGAATGCAGACCTGCTTTCTGCATTATTGCGTTCTAGGAACAAAAGGTTGGTTAATCATTTCACCTTTGAGAGAATTCCTGGAATCTTCAGCACTCCATCTCAGGAATCTTATAACTCCACAGCCTCTAACTAATCTGCAGTGAAGCATATCTAGTGCCCTGGGGATTTAATTTCTGAAGTGAAATATTTGTACTTAATTTTTGGGAGATCCTCTGAAAGAGACCCATCAGGATGTGATTTGGAAATTTTAAATACATTGCATTAAATGAATGTTGCTGCTGAAGGCAGCAATTCAAGGACTATTTTGACTTCACAGGCCCAGTATTTATTCATTGCCAGCTAAACCTTAAGTTATGAGTAGTGGTGTTGTGTGATACATGAAGGTCTGATTCCCCATCATGAGCATACTCTGTCTGATATCCAGAATAAAGAAGGTCTTCGGGGGTGAATGCTGAGCATTCTTTGCACTGAAAGCTGTTGGACCTCCCGTCTTTGATTATTACAGGAATTCCTTTGTAGGTAATAGTGCACTCAGAAAAACCCTTTTCCTTTCCCTCTGACCTTTCATTAAATAATTTTTTTTACACCTTAATTTTCCATTCTAAATATACTTTATATCCTAGCAATGTATCCACTGGTAATTCTAGGAAATATGATGTCTGATGGAAAAGCTTACAGAGTCATAGCTAGTTGCTAGTGAGATTTAGGATGAAAGATCTAAAAACTGCCCACATTCCACAAGCTCCAGGGCTCCTTTAAAACTGAAATTGCTTCAAGTACGAGAACTATTCCCACACCGTGGAAAATAAATGACCGAATGTTTGCTGCCTACATCCTACATTCAGATTGCTATGGGATGACAGTAAGCGAAAAATTTTTTTCAGCTGAAACTGGAAACTATACAGCCAGTCAGTGAGGCCGAAGGCACATAGACAGGCTGTTCCAGATGGCAAAGCTACACAGAGGAAATACTTGTTGTGAGTAGCATAGTGATCAAACTGCCTGGAAAGAAGGTCCTGGTTAGATGGGTCAGAAATTGCAGAACAGCATGGAACAAGTCTGAGGGGAGCTTTAACTATATTTTGAAATTCCTGGAGAGCCATAAGGACTGTGTAAGGACAGCAGTGATGCCGAGTTCCACACACAAAGGGAGGCAATGCTCATCTTGAGCCGCTGGATTAGAAGAAGTTGGATTTTGAGGAAATGATTGCCCAGACTGTCCTTTCAGTCTAAAGAGGAAGAGGATGGAGAGGCACACACACCAGTGATACTGGGTTGGGAGTGGAGGTGGGCCTGGGAAGAAGGAATTAAAAATAGCAGAATATAAGATTAGAGAACATTTGGAGAAAGGAAAAGGAAGGAGAAAAGAAACAGCCAAAACGGGAAGTGGAAATGAGTCAGGAGGGAGGGAAGAGAGTACAAATGGGAAGAAATCTGGGCTTATAAAGGGAGGGCAGTCTCTGGAATGGAAAAGGAGAGTTAAGGAGAGTCTGTCTTAACAAAACAATGGCAAGAAGCAGTGCCAAAAACATGCTCATTCTTCCATTAGAAAATTTTGAATTGTAATTTCTATTTTTTTCTTTGCTAATTCTACTGCTCTAGGTGTTAGAAAGAGGGGGAGAGAAATATTAAAGAAATAGAAGAGAAAAGCCCTTGACAAGAAAGGGGGAGAAAAAAAAGAGAAAAGATGAATATTACAATTATAACATATTCCAATCTGAACAGGGTCAGGGAAGGTTGATGAAAGGCTTGAATAACAAAACCTGCTGCTTGCAGTTGGACACTGTAAATACCTGGATGCATAAACACCCCTTCAAACCAACAACCCACTTATCATGATGATTAGCAGCTGCTCTGGGTTTCTAGTTCCAGCCCATAATAAAAATATTTTTCCCCCCCCCCATACTTGCATGGCAATAATAATGATGATTATGGTTATTTTAACTAGTGTCTAGCAAAGCCTCCCATCTCTTGAATTCATTAGAACCTGCGAACGAGGTCTTGGAACGCATTCATTTAATTTTCTCTTATTATACACAAAATACTGTTGTATACACTTTAGGAGGGACCGAGGCAAGGCAACCTGGCAAACAAACTTTTATCAAACAGCACTTTGTTGGAAGCGTGTGTGCTTAGATCCTCAAAAGCAAACAGTGTATACTGGAGCAGATTTTCCACCAGTATGTATTGGCGTTGCTCCATCCACCCCAGTGGAATTAGGCGTGTTTTCTCCAGCTGAGGATCTGGTCCATCGAGAGCAAACCAGCACGCTGTGCTGTATATTTTGAAAGAAACACAATGCGAAAAGCCTGTAGGGCATCGGGAGCGGGAGTTTCCCTTTCAGGTAGCTGAAACACACTTGCTATTCTTCATGCACAGGTGCACTCATCCCCATTCCAAAAAATTTGCTGTTTGTTTGCCACTGAACCCCAGAAGCAAGTCATCACCAGCAGAAATGATTTAACAGTCATCAACACTATCTAAACAAGGAGGTGATACCATCAGAGGCACTGGATTATACCAGTAGTCTGCTCCACGCTCCATGTAGGTT